ATATGTAAATCACGTGATTTTATGTTAATATATATGTTAATATATATGTATGTAAATGCCATGTACCTGCCATCAGTTAGACATTTAGAGGGGGTTTTGTCACGTAAAATGTCTAACTTACTTGTATCCCAATTCCTCACAGCCCTGCAAGGGTTAACACTACCACATATCCCATTACTCCCACAATCCCACCTTACCTCTAACTCCTCCCCTTGGGTATAAGAGGTCACACCACGAGGCCATCCAGCAGTTCCAGATATGTACCTGTAAGAGAAGGACAAAGGTCAGTTGCTACTAACTGAACAGGCCTAAGATTAGTTCAGGCCTGCAATAAAAGAATTAATAAAATATATCTTTTTGTCTTGTGAGTTATTGGGTTAGATCCATCAACCTAACATTGAAAGCTTCCAGTGATGAAGCTCCCACAACTTCTGAAGGCAATTTCTGTTCCATGGGCTGATTGTTCTCACTGTCAGAAAATTCCTCCTTATTTCCAGGTTGAATCTCTCCTTGTTCAGTTTCCATCCATTGTTCCTTGTCCGGCCTTTGGGTGCTTTGGAAAACAGCTTGAACCCCTCCTCTCTGTGGCAGCCCCTCAAATATTGGAAGAATGTTATCATGTCTCCCCTGGTCCTTCTCTTCACTAGACCAGCCATGCCCAGTTCCTTCAACCATTCATCATATGTTTTAGCCTCCAGTCCAGTGGTGGGTTCCTCCCGGTTCGGCCCGGTTCCCGCGAGCCGGTAGCGGTGACGATATGATGTCACCGAACCGGTTCTCCCCCCCCCACCCCCTCCACCCACGTAATTCTTACCTTTTATTTTGCCCCACTCCCAATCTATTGCTGCCTCCTGAGTCCCAGCTGATGGCTAGAGGGAAAAAACTGTTTAAACTCTTGCCACGGGGCTTCAAAGGGCCGCCCTACAGCTGATCAGTGTTAAAAGAAAACAAATGAGTAGACCGGTGTCTGCAAAAATAAATAGGTAGACCCAGTGGTGGGATTCTACTTCGGTAGAACCATAGTTAAGTAGTTAAGCCAGTGGTTCCCAAAGTGGGCGGTACCATGCCTTAGGGGGGCGGTAAGAGGCAAGGGTGGAGGCAGGGGGGTGCTAGAGGCAAAAGGGGGCAACAGGAGGGCGCTAAGTGGCAAGGAGGGTGGCCCCCACCGTTTGGCCTGTGCCTCACAGCAGTTACCTCCTTGCAAGCAAACAGCAAGAAAAAACAACTCCTTTCAGCTTCAGCATAGGCTAATTAGCCCGTTGATTAGATCAGCCTCATGACTCTCAGCTGTTTTACTCTCAGCTGTTTTTGGCAGGGCTCAGCTGCTTGCTGCAAAGAGCTAAATTGCTGGAGCAGATTTTTTTTTCTCCTTATGCAAATCAAGCTGAAAACGAAATTGAAAGTAAAGCAGGGTGTTGGCTGTTACGTTGGAAAATTAGGCAGAGGCAGATTTCTTTTCTTTTTCCTCACCAAAAAAGGTAGGTGCAAACAATGGAAAATTTAGGGCAAAAGAGGAGAGTTCAAGATTTTAAAACACAAAAGAAAAAAAGCTCTATTTAACTAGGGAATTGTAATAATTGAGATACTATTAATTGTATATTGTGTTGAAAGCAGAAATGGTTAAGTTGTGGTTTGGAGGAATATATGGGGGAAATTATTTGGTTTATTATTATTGGTAAATATAATTAATTGATTTGTAAGAAATTGGATTGCATGGAAATAATTGGAATATTCATGTTCATATTGATTAATATACAAAAAAGATAGTTATATAACTAAGTGATTTATATTAAAATGTTGAATTTGTATTAAACAACTGTAATATTACATAATTAACCAATGTGAGGATGGATATAAAAATAGATGACAATGGGAAGGGGTATAATATAGAATAGAAGGGAAAAAATGAGTTTGATTAAGATTAGAGATGAGGATGAAGGGTAATATTGGTTTTTTAAAAAAATAGATGAGGAATAAATATGGCAAAAAGGAAATATAGAAATTGTAAATTTAATTGAAATGACTAAACACTGTTTAAATTTGTGAACCGGCCAAATACTCTGTTCAAAGAAAATACATTGTATGTTTGTATGTGTGTTTCTAATTATTGCTATTTATTGCTATTTGTTCTCTTTTATTCTTTAAAGTTTAACAATTCATTCTTTATCTTAATATTTTTATATTTGTTTGGGGTTGGCTTTCTTCCCTTTCATCTTTTTTATTGTACAGCAATCTTTCTCCTCAAACCTACCACCTCTCTCTTTTCTTTCCTTCTTACTTTCTCTCCTCCCTCTTCTTCTCCTCCCTACTTCCTCTTCCCTTCTCCTTCTCCTCCTCTCTTCCTCCCCCTCTTATCCTCACTCCTACTCTAATTTCCCTTCCCTTCCTTCATCCCTTCTCTTCCTTCCCTCTCTCTCCTTCCTTCTTCCATCTCTCTTCTCCTTCCTTCATCCCTCTCTATTGCTGTGTCCTTTTGTGCATATGCATTACTCAGAGGGCTGAAAAAGTTATTTTTGACTGGTCCTCGCACTTTTGACTAGTCCTCAAACTTACAACTGTCCTCACATTTCATGTTTTTTGCCCTATCTTGTCACCATGGTGAAGAGAAGCAGTTGTGAAATGAGTGACATGGTTGTTAAGAATGCTACAATGGGCATAAATGATGTCCAGTCATAAGTGCGAAGACCGATCAAAAGTGCGAGGACCTGTCAGAAATGACTTTTTTCAGCCCTCCGAGTAGTCCTTTTTTGCATATGGACTACTCAGAGGGCTGAAAAAGTTATTTTTGACTGGTCCTCACACTTTTGACCAGTCCTCGAACTTACGACTGTCCTCACATTTTACGTTTTTGCCCTATTTTGTCACCATGGTGAAGAGAAGCAGTTGTGAAATGAGTGACATGGTTGTTAAGAATGCTGCACGGGCATAAATGTGAGGATGGTCATAAGTGTGAGGACCAGTCAAAAGTCCGAGGACCTGTCAGAAATGACTTTTTTCAGCCCTCTGGTTAGTCCTTTTGTGCATATGGACTACTCGGAGGGCTGAAAAAGTTATTTTTGACTGGTCCTCGCACTTTTGACCAGTCCTCGAACTTATGACAGTCCTCACATTTTACGTTTTTGCCCTATCTTGTCACCATGGTGAAGAGAAGCAGTTGTGAAATGAGTGACATGGTTGTTAAGAATGCTGCACGGGCATAAATGTGAGGATGGTCATAAGTGTGAGGACCGGTCAAAAGTGTGAAGACCTGTCACAAATCACTTTTTTCAGCCCTCTGGTTAGTCCTTTTGTGCATATGGACTACTCAGAGGGCTGAAAAAAATATTTTTCACTGGTCCTCGCACTTTTGACCAGTCCTCGAACTTATGACTGTCCTCACATTTTACGTTTTTTTCCCTATCTTGTCACCATGGTGAAGAGAAGCAGTTGTGAAATGACTTAAGTTGTTGTTGTTAAGAATGCTACACGGGCATAAATGTGAGGGATGGTCATAAGTGTGAGGACCAGTCAAAAGTGCGAGGACCTGTCAGAAATAACTTTTTTCAGCCCTCTGAGTAGTTCCTATAAACATAGCCATAGCCACCCAGTCACATGACCAGCTAGCCACACGCACCCAGTCACATGACCTCCAAGCCATGCCCACAAAATAAGCCACGCCCACAGAACCAATAGTAAAAAAATTTAGAACCCACCCCTGCTCCAGTCCCCTAATCCTCTTGGTTGCTCTTTTATGCACTTTTTCTAATCTCAACATCTTTTTTACAGTGTGGTGATCAAAACTGAATGCAATATTCTAGGTCTTACTAAGGTTTTATAGAATGGTATTAGTACCTCTCTTGATCTTGATTGTATCCCTCTGTTAATGCGATTTAGGATTGCATTGGCTTTTTTGGCTGCCACTGCACACTCTTGACTCATATTTAATTGGTTGTCCACTAAGACTCCAGGATCCCTCTCACAGTTACTCCTATTATGCCTGGTTTACTGCTTGAACAGGGGGTTGGACTAGAAGACCTCCAAGGTCCCTTCCAACCCTTTTATTTCAAAAGTTCAAAAGTTATGGTCTTTGTGAAATGACATCATAGCCATAGACGGTCAGCCAAGAGAGCAAGTAACAACTTTCCTTATCTGGGGTTGTTTTCTCTGAGCCTGAATCTTGGCTCCCTCATCATCCAAGGAGCTCAGTTAGAGAAAGGGCAGGAGTGAAAGTGGTGCTTAAATGAAAACCTCTCAGCTCTCCAGCTTCCTCAGCCCCAATGATTAAAGTATCGGAGGCCCAGTTTTCCCCCATGTTCTTCCATCAATCTGATGTTTGGGGCTCCAGAGAGAAACCACCAGCAGAACCAACCCAATCTCAGCCTCTGAGGAGCATCTTGGGGTGGCTAAAAGGGCTCCAGCTGCTGCCCTCAGAGCTGATTTGGGAATTTACACAATTTCTGCTTTCTCTAAATTCAGAAAATATGGGCATTGGCATAAAATTTAATCTATGGAAACTGACAGACTCTGAAAATTGTGGCTGTTGGAACAGAGAAAACTTCAATTAAAGACCAAACTTGGATTATGCAACTGACAAATCTTATTAGGCTTTGAGGTCTGCTTGTTTCTTGTATAACTGGAGAAAGAAGTTAAAAAATTTCCTCCAGAAAGAATCTGGGATATAGAAGCAAAAAAAGATGCAGCAATCCTCGAAAATTATAATAGGCCCTTTATTGGAATAGAATACTCCAGTTGGCATTTGCACATGTTAATCTAATTGTGATAAATTGTAGGGGTGGAATACAATAATATGATTTACATTTTTATAGTTTTTTAATTTACTTATTATTTTCCATTATTATGATACAATCTTGCTAATATTCTGTCTTTAATATTTTAAACAATGTCTGATTAACAAACTATTCTAAAATATTCATGAGAACCGGGTTGGATTTATTAAAATCTAATATTTTGGACTTGATCTGATCCCAAATGTAACACAGCTTTCTTCATTGCTTTTTCAGATCAGTCATAACATTGTTTCAGAGGCTCTGAGTGATAAAAGTCAATTCCCCCTTTTCCACCATATTCTCCCCAAAGAAGGATTCCAGTACCCAGCAATTGTCCACCTGCTCCTCCATTTCAGATGGACCCTGATTGGCCTCTTTGCTTCAGACACAGAAAATGGAGAGAATTTCATGAGGATTTTTCCTCCTATGCTTGTCAGGAGTGGAATTTGTGTGGTTATATCACAACTGTTCTCAACAACTGGATACACAACAGCCCTCAGGGAGCCCCTCTCTAAGTGGAGACAAGTCAACGTCTTTGTTCACTTCATAGAATATGAGTTCATTTGGGGCAGAATTCTTCCTTTCCATTTGACATTTATGCATCTGCCAAGACTCATTGAAGGGAAAGTCTGGATCCTCACAAATTTTGTAGGGTATAAAATAAATAAATGCAGACTTCTCAAATATATCCATAGTATTTGGAACTTTGGTTATCTGTTAAAAAATAGGCCAAAAGATTCTGCTTTTGAACCCCATTTCTTTGGGGGAGGAAAGTTTCAAGATTATTATTTCCGCTGTTCTCTTTCAAAGAAAGTCTTTTCTGTCAAAGGCCGCAGAAGATGCACCCAGAAAGCCCCACTGGAGACCCAGGAGAAAAGGAACAGAGGAATGATCCCAAATTTTTATCAGTATTACAGTATCATGAAGACTCTGACCCAGACCTTGAATGCTGCTTATTCCTCCAGATGGAGGAGGAGAAGGAAGGAGGGAGAAAAGATCTTGGGGTCTCCAAGGCTGCAGCCGTGGCAGGTATGGGGGTCCTGATATGGATCCATTAATCATAGATCCTTTGGAGGAGGAATCCAGAGGAGAAGGAGGGGAACCAACTCAACAGATCTGGCCAATTCAATTACTCAGGGAATAATGGTTCCAAAGAGTAGATACCATGGCATTTTGTTTTTGTTTTTTTTGTTTTTGTTTTGTTTTTTAAATTAATTTTTATTCAACATTTATATCTTTAACATCCTTGTTACATTTTTACTGCTTTCCGATACCGGCATCTGTAATAATATCTATAGATATTCTTGGTAATTATCTTTGTTTTGTTTTTATTTATTTTCAGGCCTGCTATTTCGCTATTTCTATTTCTCTATTTCTAGTAGGAGTTTCTCTCCCCTTTCCAAAGGGTCCTCTAATATAAATGCCATGTCATCTGCAAAGGCCCATGTTTTGTATTCTTCTCTTTTAATTTTTAACCCTTTTATTTCCTTATTTCCCCTTTCCTGTGCCAATAATATTTCCAATGAAAGGATGAATAAGAGGGGGGACAATGGACAGCTCTCGGCTTGTCGTTCGTTCAAAACTGCGATAGGAAATAATCACCAGTAATGCACAGAGAATCAGGGTTTACTTTGGCAATGATAAGCTTGCAGTCAAAAGTAAAGTACAAGTCGGTGTTTTGGTTTTTGTTTTTTTTTTAATTTGATTTATATGCCGCCCTTCTCCGAAGACTCAGGGCGGCTTACAATGTGCTCAGCAATAGTCAGCGCTGGGTGTAATCACACTACAGCGCTATTTAACAAAAACTCAGCCCCTTAAACATACATCCGGTGATTATCAATCAAGCACCCCCCCCCCACTCCCTTAACAGTAACAGCTGCGAGCACCAGAGCAGCGAGGACAGCAGAATCGGAGAGGCCCGGCAACGTCATCAATCATCACCCTGAATGCTGCTATCCAGGAACTGTTTGTGTGTTCGCTGCGGCTGCTTATCTCCACTCCTTCGTCCCCCACACCCCCCATCGATGGCGAGCTCCGGTAGGACTCGACAGGCGGCCCCCCCTACCAGGAGCTCACCTATAAATAGAAAGCATACAAATGTTAGTCACTGTTACGATCCTGCATTAGGTTTGTCTGGGTATTTCCGATGGAACCGTTGTATCAACCGGGCAGCGTGAACATCGGGTGCTGCCACCCACGAGGCCTGTGTTACAGGGTATCCTTTCCACCGCACAAGATATTGCAACATCCCCCTACGAACCCTGGAGTCCAATATTCGGTCTATCTCATATTGGTTGGTGTGCACGGGACCCGGTGGAGTAGTCGAGGTACCTGGCCTTTCTATCGTCACCGGTTTCACCAAACTGCTATGGAATACGGGATGTATCCTACTGAACAGAGGGGGAAGTTTAAGAGCTACGGTTACGGGATTGATGACTTGTGTTATGGGAAATGGTCCTATATATTTAGGTCCTAATTTTTTACTGGGCAGTCGGAGTTTAAGGTATTTCGTAGATAAGTATACTTTGTCTCCTATCCGGAATGGTTTTGGATCAGCTCTTTTCTTGTCTGCATATTTTTTGTACTCGTCTGCTGCCTTTTGTAATGCTGTTTTTACACTTGGCCATACATGACTAATTTTATCGGCCCAACCGCGTGGCGTGTCACCGTCTGTCATAGGGGGATCTAACTCTGGAATGGCTGAAAACTCTCGGCCATATATTACTTGGAAAGGGGAGAACCCAGTACTGCGGTGAGATATGTTGTTATATGCCACTTCGGCGAAAGGCAGGAGTCCTGACCAATTCGTCTGCTGGTACGAAACGTAGCATCTGATATATCTTTCAACCATGGCATTGGCCCGTTCAGCCGCCCCATTAGTGCTCGGGTGGAATGCTGAACTTAACCCTTGAGAGGACCCAATTAAACAGACAAATCGTCTCCAAAACTTAGAGGTGAATTGAACACCGCGGTCGGATATAATCCTCTTAGGTGCTCCATGGAGACGATAGATATGTTGCAAAAAGAGTTCGGTTAATTGTCGCGCGGATGGTATGCTTTTACATGGCACAAAGTGGGCCTGTTTCGAAAACAGATCTACCACCGTCCAAATTACAGTGTGGCCATGGCTAGGGGGGAGATCGACTATGAAATCCATAGCGATCTCTTCCCAAGGCCTGCTAGGATTCGCGACTGTCTGTAATAGTCCTAACGGTCATCCAGACCAGGGTTTGGCGGTTGCACAGGTTGTGCAACCTTTTACGTATGTTTCTATGTCCTTACGCATTCGTGGCCACCAGAATTGCCTCCTCACAAGGTGTAGAGTTTTTAAATACCCAAAATGGCCTGCTGATTTGGCATGATGGCACCTGCATAACACTACGTTCCGTAAACGTTCTGGAACATATATTCTATTCTCCCTCCACGCTATTCCATCATTATAGATAACCATAGAGGGGTTTTGGATTACCCATTGATCCTGTTGTAAAGCTGTTTTAAACTCGGTACGTAAGTGACCATCTACTTCTGTAAGTCTTAATAGGGTTTGGGAAGGTGCAATTAGAGGTTCTATCACTTCCTCTCACTTGCTATTATACTGTGGCATCCGGGACAGCGCATCAGCCAGGAAGTTTTTCCCAGCAGGAACATACCGCAACCGGAAAGAGAAACGCTGAAAATATTGTGCCCACCTTATCTGTTTGGGAGATAGTCGCCTGGGCGTTTGTAAGGCTTCTAAGTTTTTATGGTCCATCCATACCTCAAAAGGATGAGACGCCCCCTCCAAGAGATGTCGCCATGTCATCAACGCCCAACGGACCGCGAAGGCCTCTTTTTCCCAGATCGCCCATGCCCGCTCTGTCGTGGTTAACTTTTTAGACGTATAGGCACAAGGTTGTAACCCTCCCTGCTGTGTTCTTTGTAGGAGTACTGCTCCTACAGCCACGTCGCTAGCATCTGCCTGGACTACGAATGCCTGCGTTGGGTCTGGATGCTTGAGTACTGGTTCTAGAGCAAAGAGTGTTTTTAACTGCTCGAAAGCCATTTGACACGCTGACGACCACGTCAACGCTTGTCCCGGCTTTGGTTTAGCCGTGGCCGGTTTGGTCCGTAACAGATCCGTTAGTGGTAGGGCTATTTCAGCAAATCTGGGAATGAACTGCCGATAGAAGTTTGCAAAGCCTAGAAAGCTCTGTAATTGCTTTCTGGTTCTAGGGACCTGCCATTCAAGCACTGCCTGGACTTTTCTGGGATCCATCTCTATCCCGCTCTCTGATATTCTATAGCCTAGATAATCTATCCTCTTTTTGTGAAACTCACATTTGGATAGTTTCACGTACAGCTTAGCAGCTAATAATTTGTCTAAGACCTGTCGGACCAGAGATATATGTTCCTCTTCAGTTTGCGTGTAAATTAAGATGTCATCCAAATATACAAGGACACCCCTGTACAGATGTTCATGCAGCACTTCATTGATGAACTGCATGAACACCGCAGGGGCGCCCTGTAGTCCGAACGGCATGACCTGGAACTGATAGCTTCCCAAGGGACAATTGAATGTTGTTTTCCACTCATCCCCTGGTTTGATTCGTATCCTATAATACGCTTCGCGTAGGTCGAGTTTCGTAAAGATACGACCGGTGGCTAGGGCAGCTAACAGGTCCTTCATTAAGGGAAGTGGATAGAGGGGTTCCACACACACTGCATTGAGATCTCTGAAGTCAACGCATAAGCGTAAACCCCCATCTTTCTTCCCATGAAACAGGACAGGGGCAGCCATCTTTGATCAACTAGGTGTGATAAAACCCCGGGCCAACTTCTTGTCTATATATTTTCGTAATTCTTTTAGCTCGGGTTGTGTCATTGAATACATCTGGGGCTTGGGTAGCTTCGCCCCAGGTATTAACTCAATACTGCAATCCATAGGCCGGTGAGGGGGCAGGGTCTCACATTCCGCCTCACTAAAGACTCTAGCGAGATCCCTATACACATTAGGATACGTCGTGTCTGCTGGTGGGCTCTCTGCTTCTATTCCCCCTGCTGGCTCCTTTTCCTCCTTGGTAGGGGGAGGTCCCAACGGTAATCGAAGTTTGCGAAAACCCCCTTCCCACCATATTGTAGGAGCCCACTTGTCCAACCATGCTAATCCTAAAATCACTGGTTCTAACATTTTTTCCACTATAATAAACCGAATAGTTTCGGTGTGCTCCCCAATATCGAGGTGCACCTTTTCTGTTATATGAGTCACTGGTGCCCCTCCCAGCAATGAACCATCCATTTGTTCAAAGGTAATAGGGATTCTCAACCGCACAACCCGCAGCTCAAGTTCGTCAACTATTGCCCTACGAATTAAACAATGAGTACACCCTGAATCAATCAATGCCTCATATCGGCGTCCAGTGGTTGCCCGTGGGTTTCGGAGTACGACTGGTACCACAAAAGGTCGGATGGGGTCGCTCACCATCGGGTCGTGTGGGTCCTCATCGTCGTCATCACTATCCCCAGCCACAATCGGGAATTTTTCCGCCACCACTTTTTTAGTATCTGTAGCCAGGGGATCCCTCTCCATACAGGATGTTCGAGTCATTTGGGACCGTTCGGATGTTGGTCGGCCTCTGCCTCTCAACACAGCTCTAGGAGGGGAGTTTTGGTCCGAGTTGCGGGGCATGGGATGAGGACAGTCGGCTGCTCGATGACCAAGGCGATTACATCTGAAGCAACGAAACGCAGGCCGCTGGATCCTTTCCCCAAGCCGGAGCCAGCATTCGGTTTAGTCTCCTTGGGTGTTTGTGTGCGTTCTGCTGGTCGTTTTCCTTGACTTGCAACCCCTTCACCCCAAATACGGAATTCTCAGAGACCGATGTCCAATTCGATGGCTGCCTTGTACCACACACTCAACTTGGGGGGCAAGCCCCGGTACACGCAGGCTTGCCGTAAATCACGGTCTAGTCCTTTATGGAATTGGTGCACCAGAAGACGTTCTGGCCACCCCACCAACCGAGCCACATTCTTTCGGAACTCCTGTACATATTCCTTTGCTGGCACGCCCCGTTGCTTAAGCGCAAACAAATCCCCCTCTGCAACCTGGGCGCTTGTTTCGTCTTCAAATCTGGCACAAAGAGCCTCCAGAAATCGTCCCATGTCCACGAGTTCCCTTGCATGTTTAGCATGGAGGCCTGCCACCCACTCAGCCGCTTCTCCCGTCAGGACCCCCGTAACAGCAACCACCATAGCCTACTGGGAGGGATACCACTGTCCATATTGGTCCATATGGCTTATCACCTGGCTTAAGAAAAGAGCCACTCATTCAGGGCTTCCGTCAAAGGAAGTCTGCAGGGCAGGCGATCCCCAAACGGCCTGCGGGACCCACAGCCCCGGCGGGGCCCCCGGAGGCCAAGGCATGGGGCCTGGGGTCCTCGCTGCTCCAGTCGCTCTCCTGTCCTGCCTAGGTTGGTCCCTCGTCGCCCCACGACCCCCAACAAGTAAGCCCCCTGCCAATTGCATTGGTTGGGGCTCAGGACCGGCTCCAAGGTCTCCTGATGAGGCACCTTGGTCTTGTTCTGGAGGGGGTTGGTCCATGGATCATCTAGAGGTCCGCTCCATCCTCAATTTAGGGCTTGTGAGCCGGAATTGGGTCTCCGAAGCGGTCAACCCTGTATCCTGCCAAGAAGAACCTGGAGGCTCCAGCCCTGCAACCCAGGGCTGCCAGGATGGGGCGTCACGAAATCCAGATTCCCCAAAATGCTCACGTAGCATATCCATGGTGCTGGGACCGGATGAGGCAGGATACCCCCAATCCCCTTCATCCTCCTCAGTCCATCGTCTTTCCCTCCAGCCCTGGAAAGACACTCCCAAGCCAGGGGGCGTTGGCATCCGCGGCCCGAGGAGAACAGAGCTGTGCCACCAATCCCCCGTCCGAGCCCGTTGTCCTGGAAAACTCTCCTCCTCTGGTCGGGGTGGGGCGCTCTTGGTTTGCTTGACTTTTGGTTTCACTGCCAACTGTTCCACACTCTCCTTCACCTCCTCTATCAGTGGTTCCTCCCCCTCCACATCTCCACCACACTCCTGCTCTTCCAAGGCCGTCCCTTCTGCCATATCCCCCTTTGCTGCAAAGCCACAGGGACTCCTCACCTCTTGCGAAAAGGAACCAAGCGCTGACTTTCTCTCGGCTTGTCGTTTGTTCAGAACTGCGATAGGAAATAATCACCAGTAACGCACAGAGAATCAGGGTTTACTTTGGCAATGATAAGCTTGCAGTCAAAAGTAAAGTACAAGTCGGTGTTTTGGTTTTTTTTTTTTTTAATTTGATTTATATGCCGCCCTTCTCCGAAGACTCAGGGCGGCTTACAATGTGCTCAGCAATAGTCAGCGCTGGGTGTAATCACACTACAGCGCTATTTAACAAAAACTCAGCCCCTTAAACATACATCCGGTGATTATCAATCAAGCACCCCCCCACTCCCTTAACAGTAACAGCTGCGAGCACCAGAGCAGCGAGGACAGCAGAATCGGAGAGGCCCGGCAATGTCATCAATCATCACCCTGAATGCTGCTATCCAGGAACTGTTTGTGTGTTCGCTGCGGCTGCTTATCTCCACTCCTTCGTCTCCCACACCCCCCATCGATGGCGAGCTCCGGTAGGACTCGACAACAGCCTTGTCTAACCCCTTTGTTAATATCGACTTTTTCTGTAAGATCTCCACTGACCATAATTTTTCTGTTTGCTTAGAATAAATTGTCTTCATCATTTCTATAAATTTTTCGCCAAATTTCATCCCGATTAATTGATTAATTAAAAACCGCCAATTCAAGTTGTCGAACGCCTTTTGTGCATCTATCATTATTACTGCCAATTGTTTTTCTGGATGAGCCTCATAGTATTCTAGAATATTCATGATAATCCTTGTATTGTTCTTAATTTGTCATTTGGGTAAAAACCCGTTTTGATCCCAATGAATTATTTTATTTAATATCTTTTTTAGTCTTTCTGCTATTGTTGCCAGGATTTTATAGTCGGCATTTAACAGTGAGATTGGCCTATAGTTTTGAATGAATTGATTGTCTGTACTTTCCTTTGGAATTAATGCTGTATATGCCTCCATCCATGAATTTGGCATTTTGGCTTTCTCTAATACCTTGTTATATATATCCAACATAATTTCTTCCAAAACTTCCTGAAATTTTTTATATACTTCCGCCGGAATTCCATCTGTCCCTGGTGTTTTGTTATTTTTCTGTTTTTAATTGCCTCTCTTAACTCTGTTAATGTAATTTCCCCATTCAACATTTCCCTATCTTCATCTGTTATACTTGGCAAGTTCCTCTCCTGTAGGTAATTTATAATGTTTTCTTCTTTAATGTTTTCTTGACTATACAGTATTTGAAAATAATTTTGAATAATATTTTTTCCCCCTCAGTTCTATGGAGCAAATTTCCTTGCTCGTCTCGTAAATATTGTACCAATTTTTTAGCTGATTTCCCTGTTTTGGGGATCTTTCTGAAGTGATAATTCTAATTTTTTCAGCTTCTCCAATGTTGACATTCGTTGTTCCTTCTTCTCTTTGTTTCTCCTCACCATATACGCAACAGTTATCCCCCTTATTCATCACCTTCAAGTTTCATAGGAAAGATTAAAAAGGATTAAAAACTATTTCAATATAATTTTGAAGACAGTTTTTATCCACTTATTATCCAGGCCTCAGGTTTCTAATCACATGACAAAATTGTTTGCGAGTCCTTTGCTAAAATCCAGTGATATCACCAGAGTTCCCATAATCTATTTAGGAAGTGTAATGATGGGTGAGAATGACTTTTGGGATGAGGGGAAGAGAAGCTGCCTAGGGAAGGATCAGAGAAGAGGGGAGAATCCTGCAGCTGCATAATGGGAGAGAAAGAAACTCAGAAAGGATCCCGGCTAACTTTTCAGGCTGACAAAAGAGTTGGTGGGAGATTTGTTCTTTCAGATCTGCAAAATTTTGTTAATGTCACATTACAATCAAGTAGAATTAGCACATCTGGATGTGTTTTCCATCAGGATGACCAGGGAGAAGATTAGCCTGACAACTTTCTTCTTGATCAACCCATGCTTTCTGGGAATCAACCTGTGGTTTTCAAAGAATTTATGAATCATCTATTTTTTTCCTGTTCATTTTATTTTCATCTGCTCTAGAATGTTCCCTATATTTGACCAATTGTATCAATTATATACTTTTTCTATATTTTCTCAGTAAATGATTGACAAATTTTTCTCAAACTTTCTTGTTCACTTATGAAGATGATGATAGTATTTGTATCCTAATTAAGCATATTTGGAGATGAGACAATTGTAGAACAAAGATTCAATGTGGGATAAGAAACAAAGTTCTCTGTTTTTCAAATTCCTGGACGTTCCCATTCTAGTTTCATCCCTTTCTGGAGAAGAATGAATTTTGGAATATTTCCAACATTGAAGTGTACTTGGACCAAAATGGAGAGATAACAGCAGATCTGAGAATTGACAGCTTGTTGGTTCTCCCCAAGGGGGGTATCAGGGAAGAGATTCTGGCATATTTTGAAAGACAGAGACTTACTATCAACCAAGATGCTCTTTCACAGCTAAAGTTGCTCAATAAGGTGAGAGAAATGTTGGTGTCTTTTCTCTGTTTTCCAAAGGTCCCATTTCCAGTGGGCAAAGCCTAGAGACTCGTTGGCCTCCCATGCCAGTTGGTGTCATCTCATGGAAGCTCTTCAAGAGACGGGACCTAAGTGGAGTGGCGTTGCCATGTTTTCTGGAAACCTTTCAAGATCTTACTGGTCAGAGGTTTCTTTCTTCATCACAGTTTAATTTCATATTAAAAAACCTAATAGAATAAAATTTCCTAAATCTTTTACAGTAAACTTTATTATTAGTTTTAATAAGAATATATCATCATATTTTAAATTTTTTTCAATTCCATCGCTTTAGACTACATTAAATAGAAAAGTACTTTATTGTAATGTTAAATTCTGAAAGCAAAAGGGAGGAACTAAAGGAAGAACCTGCCAGTTGTTATACCTCCTGCATCTGTTTAGAAGTAGTCAGAGATTTCATATTTACCTCAGGGAAGATTAGAGGCTACTTGTCTCCATCAATTTCTCCCTCCATTTTCCATGGACAGAGAGTCCTAACACCTTTTCTTTCGCATTCTTTGTTTTTCTCCTTAGTCTCTGCCTCAGTCCAAATGTGTGGAAAGTTGCCATCCTGGATTTGTCAAGAGGGCTCGAGAAGGAGAGCCAGTTTGCTGCTATGACTGCGTTCCTTGTCCAGAGGGGACCTTCTCCACTCAGGAAGGTGGGTCACACTGAGGAAAATGGGAGGCTTTGTGGAACTGGATCCATGCAGAGTGTTTCCATGAAAGTGCAACTTGAAGGACAGATTGAAGCTATTTTCAACTTGCACAATTTCTTATCTAAACGGAAGTAAATCAATAAGACTTGGAAGGAGGGGCTGGGAAGAGATGGGAGGAGGGGGTGGCAGACTGGGCAAGCTCTACTAACAGCAGAGGAAATATCTCTCCTGCTTTTTAGTTTGGATATGTGCTGCTAAGTTTACCTTTCTAGGAACATCTGAGATCTTTGAAACTAGATGAATTGTTTCAGGTCCACCTTCTGAAAGACCTTGCAATTCATTGTATATTGGCCTCCCTTGAGGATCACTGAGAAGGTGTCACTGGTCCATAATCTGGTGCTGTGGATAGTTATGGGGGGAACTCATTACACAATTATTCTGCCAGTCATGTACATCAATCAATCAATCAATCAATCAATCAATCAGAATAGAGTAGAAGGAACTTTGGAGGTCTTCTAGTCCAGCCCCCTGCTCAAGCAGGAGACCCTAGACCATTTCAGACAAGTGACTGTCCAGTCTCTTCTTAAAAACCTCCAATGTTGAAGCATCCACAACTTCTGGAGGCCAGTTCTTTCCACTGGTTAATTGCTCTCATTGTTAGGAAGTTTCTCATTAATTCCGTATGGCTTCCAGATGTTACAGGATACTGTAGGTATCCTCCAAGTCTAGGATAATAACTGCCATAGGGCAGGACTCAAGATGTTTGTCTAAAAAGATTATATGATTTATTATTAACGGCTAATTATGTAGGTTTCTATGAAGATTCTACACATTACACAGGAAATAATTAACATCCTATGTCTTCTCTCACCTTCATATACCTAGCTACATTTTTAAAGAAAAAAAAATCCTTCTTATGCTCTTTTTAATGAAATAGTTAAGAAATACTTCTTGGATAATGCCTGTGGTATCAGCTGTTATCCAGAGAAGGTTTTTTCTTGCAAGAGAAAAGGACAGATATTAAGGATATATTGCTTTTTTGCTTTCTCAGATACAGAAAAATGCACCAAGTGTCCAGATGATAAATACCCAAATGAGGACAGAGTCCAATGCACCCCCAAAGTTATAACCTTCCTGTCTTATGAAGAACAACTGGGCATCATCCTGGTCTCTTTTCCCCTATTCTTCTTCCTAACCACAGATCTTGTTTTAATCACCTTCACTAAATATGGAGAAACTCTCCTTGTCAAAGCCAACAACTGGGACCTCTCCTACATTCTCCTGGTCTCCCTCCTGCTTTGCTTCTTGTCTCCTCCTCTCTTCATTGGTCAGCCAAAAAAAGCCACCTGCCTTCTCCGACAAACGGTTTTCAGCATCATCTTCTCAGTGGCCATTTCTTCTCTCTTGGCCAAAACCATCACGGTGGTGCTGGCCTTCCTGGCCACAAAACCAGGAAACCGAGTAAAGAGATGGTTGGGGAAGAGCTTGGCCAACTCCATCATCCTTTCTTGTTCTGCTGTCCAAATTCTCATCTGCTCCACCTGGCTGGGAGTTTCTGCCCCCTTCCCTGACTCTGACCTCCACTCCCAGCCTGGAGAGATCATCCTGCAATGCAACGAAGGGGCCGTTGTCATGTTCTACGTCACCCTCAGCTACATGGGCTTCCTGGCTGCCATCTCCTTCACGGTGGCTTTCCTGGCCAGGAATCTGCCTGGGGCCTTCAACGAAGCCAAGCTGATCACTTTCAGCATGCTGGTCTTCTGCAGTGTCTGGGTGACTTTTGTGCCCACCTACCTGAGCACCAAAGGGAAATCCATGGTGGCTGTGCAGGTCTTCTCCATCCTGGCCTCCAGTGCTGGTCTGCTGGGCTGCATCTTCATCCCCAAGTGCTACATTATCCTTCTGAGGCCAGACCTCAACACAAAGGAGCAGCTCACAGCCAGAATCAATGTAAAAACATGAGATATAACACCATTATGATATTGGAAGAATTGTTAAAAGTTTGGGGTTTTTTTGAAAGGAGATATTCTTTCCATTTAGATAGTATGCAGGAGTCAAAGAAAATCATATCTATATGTTTCAAATTTGGAAATTATTGAATTCTTCACTAAGGAGGAGCCAGAAGAAATGTGTAAATGTGAGACTGAGGAATTTCAACTTTTAACATTTTCCACAGTCCAAACGTAGAAAATGGTCCAAGCTGTTTTGCATGCATGAGTGGGCCAACTATTTTTCTTGAAATAAATAAAGGGTGTGTGGAAGATTGTGAGGAGACAAATTTCTTGGAGAAATGGGAGCATGTTAGCAAGACAGAAATATAGAAGGAATGTATGGAGCAATGTTGATGCCCTCATTTCTCAGTACATTTCACCCAAACTGCTGTGGCAACGCAACTGAGATGTTTCTTTTTCTTTACACAATAAATCTTTCTTGAGGGTAGCAACAATACAAGGCTGGGGAGGTAACTTGAGTCTCCCTAATTCTGAATATTCATGCTCACATCATCTATTAAATGAAATATGCATATGTATGATTATCATTTTCTCCTCCTTTCCTGGAATTTTCTATCTGTAAAAATTTCCTCCCACTATTTTATGGGGGAAAATTCCTCCAGTGGACGCTAAATAAATAATAACTGCAGTGAGCCTGGATTATTGGAGTTTTTGGGTCCTGTGTTTCTTTCCGCAGAAACTGGTGTCAGGAGTGGGATTCACAATCTTCGATCTGCCACCAGGGACAACAGGTGGGGCAGCCCTATAGGCAGTGGTGGGATTCATTTGTTAAATTGCTGGCTCGCCCTGCCCCTTGCCCCACCCCTCCACACCACTATTTGTTGGACTCGCTCGCTGTGTTGCAAAGCTTGCCTTAGTGACACACCGAGTTCAGGAGAACCGTCAGTGGAAATTTGGCATGTTTTTCTGAACCATTAGTGACCTTTGGCTGGCCACGCCCCCGAACCAGTTCACCCTCGCTCACCCCGCCCGCCTGATGCTCGCCTGCCCCGCCCAGCCACTGCTTGCAGACTCTGCCCCAATCCTTCTGCTCACCGCTGCTGGCAAAGGGAAGGCCGAGGGCACGGGTGGCCGGGGGAGGGAGAGCTGGTGGAGGGGTGATACCAGCAGCAGGTGGTGGACCGATGCGCATGAGGAGGGAGGGGAGCGCGCGGGAGATCCTAGCTGCAGTTGACTCGTGAGCAACATTGACTGGGAGAGGCAGGGAGAAAGGCCAATGGCGCTCACGAGTAAACTGCAGATGACAGGAAGCTGGCAGATCTCTGGCTTACTTGCTCTGCTGCTCGCCTGGCAGAGCGCAGACTGGCAGCTCCTGGTCGTCTCTCAGCCGTTGTGTGCAGGGAAAAACCTTGCAAAGGAAAGGAAAACTTCTCCTGAGTGTGAGAAGTTAATTGCCTCACACTCCCTGCACTGAATGGCTGAGAGAGGACCCAGAGCTGCCACTCTCCGGTAAAATGAGCCTCTCGCAATGGGGCGCAATTTGAGGTGGCAGGTGGGGCAGGGGATGGGGAGGGGCTCTGCTTTGCTCCCCTCTCCCTGCCGGTCAGTGGTGTTGCATGCACCCGCTGCGCTGGGACTGACAGGGGCCACAGCAGCCCTCTCCTGTCTTTCTCCAGCTGGGCGGGGAAAAAAGGAGGGGGACTTCACACACAAAAGAGAATTCCCTCCTTTGGCACGGGAGCCAAAGATAAAAGAAACTGGTGGGGAGAAAAGAGGGAGAGGAGGAACAGGGGAAGGGCCATTTTTTCATTGTTTTTAACTCTGTAGCAACATCCTTCCCAGCTACCGCTTTCTCTGCTCAGCAGCAGAGCTTTCTTTTTTCTTTTTTTAAGGTTAGTCCCCCTTCTTCCCGGAGAGAGAAGAGCAGGGACAGGGAGAGAAACAGAAGGCAGCGTGGGATGGTGGGGGTGGGAGCGGGCGTCTTCTTAGTCCCGGATGGATGCTGCTTCCTTGAGTCCCCTCAACGTTTCAGTCCCAGAAAGCGGCTGAAAAATGCCTCCTCTTTCCATTTTCTGTCTTTGCCTCCTTCCTCTTTTTATTTGGTTTTCCCTCCCACCCTGAAAGGAGTTTCAAGCAAAAGAAGAGCGGGGGAGTCTTAATGTCTGGTTAAAATGGGGAGTCCTTCCATTTAAAGAAGAAAAGCATAGCTCAGACTATTGCGATGATTTTTTGCTCCTATATTATGTTGTTTAGGTATAAATTTTGTTAATGTAGAAATTTTACTTACAGCCTATTAAACAATGGAGCTAGCTGTCTGCCTGCAATCCTGTGTACCTATTAGGAGTAATTCCCACGGAAAGAGAGCAGCCTTACTGCCAAGTAAACATGCATAGGCTTTATGTTGAGAGATAGGGTATCGATTAGTATGAGGTGTGTTAGAGAGAGAAATGAGAACTTATGTAACAACAGATACTTTGTGCCCAGACCAGGTGTGTGTGTGTGTGTGTGAGTGAGTGAGAGAGACAGACAGACAGAAAGAAAGAAAGAGGGAAGGAGAGAGAAATAGAAGAGAAAGAAAGAGGAAGGAAGGGAGAGAGAGAGAGAAAAAAACTGTGCTATTATTTTTAATTGTTCCACTATTTATTATGTGTTAATATTTTACACTGTCCCTACACCTAGAGTGATTTTACTGCCTTCCTTTTGCCCAGGGCTACCACATATTTTTCAGGGATTTACATGCATTCAATGACTATAGTCCAGAGCATAAGTATGTGTGTGTTTATTTGTACATCAGGTTGCATAAGTCCATCTTAATATGCTATTCCTGGTATGTGATGATTTGTATACATACAGAGAAAGAAGCACTCTTATGATCTTTGCCTTTTAGGCTGGCTGTCAAACATCAGCCATAATAGCAATGACTGTTTTGAACAATATGCAGGTTGCATTACACGAATGGCTATTTTATACGTGAAATTATGACTGAAATATTTCTGCACCTATATTGGTTCACACTGTCAGGAAGTTTCTCCTTAGTTTTAGGTTGCTTCTCTCTTTCTTCAGTTTCCCTCCATTGCTTCTTGTTTTGCCTTCTGGGGCTTTGGAAAATACATTCTTTCTGGCAGCCCCTTAAAAGCCGGCTGCCTATCACCCTCTTGGGCAAAGCATGGGAGCCATTTCCTCCTTTCAGTGGTCCATGAAAGTGCATCTCTAGTATGTAGATAATAAAGTGGAAAAAAGGTGACAGAACTAGAGATACGTTGAGGCTGGGTGTGACAAGGAGTGGCTGGGAGGGGAGGGGCCAGGCGAGGCACTGCTTGACGTGAGTGACATTGAGTTGGCCACACCCACCCAGTCACATGACCAATCCACACCCACAAATAAGCCACGCCCACAGAACCGGTAGTAAAAATATTTAGAACCCTACCTGGTTTTATTCTACATTAAAAAATCTAATGGAATAAAAGTTTCCTCAATCTTTTACAGTAAACTTTGTTCTCAGTTTTAAGATGGATATATCATCATATTTAAATCTTTTTTCAATTCCATCCCTCTAGACTACATTAAATAGAAAAGTCCTTTATTGCAGTGTTAAATTCCGAAAGCAAAAGGGAGGAACTAAATGAAGAATCTGCCAGTTGTTTTACCTCCTGCATCTGTTTAGGAGTAGTAAGAGACTTCATATTTACCTCAGTGAAGACCAGAGGCTACTTGTCTCCATCCATTTCTACCTCTGTTTTCCATGGACGGAGAGTCCTAACATCTTTTCTTTGGCATTCTTTGTTTTTCTGCTCAGTCCCTGCCTCAGTTCAAATGTGTGGAAAGTTGTCATCCTGGATTTGTCAAGAGGGCTCGAGAAGGAGAGCCAGTTTGCTGCTATGACTGCGTTCCTTGTCCGGAGGGGACCTCTCCACTCAGGAAGGTGGGTCACACTGAGGAAAATGGGAGGCTTTGTGGAACTGGATCCATCCAGAACCTTTTCATGAAAATGCAAGTTAAAAGACAGATTGAAGCTCACATGGGTTTTTTATTTTTAACCTGCACAATTTCTTAGGTAAATGGAATTAAATAAAAAAAAAGACTTGGAAGGAGGGGCTGGGAAAGAGATGGGAGGAGGGGGTGGCAGACTGGGCAAGCTTTACTAACAGCAGAGGAAATACCTCTTCTGCTTTTTAATTTGGATGTGTGCTGCTAAGTTTACCTTTCTAGGAACATCTGAGATCTTTGAAACCAGATGAATTGTTTCAGGTCCACCTTCTGAAAGACCTTGCAATTCATTGTTTATTGGCCTCCTCTTGAGGATCACTGAGAAGGTGTCACTGGGCCATAATCTGGTGCTGTGGATAGTTATGGGGGAAATTCATTACACAAATAGTCTGCCAGTCATGTAGATCAATCAATCAATCAATCAGAATAGAGTAGAAGGAACTTTGGAGGTCTTCTAGTCCAGCCCCCTGTTCAAGGAGGAGACCCTATACCAGTTCAGACAAGTGACTGTCCAGTCTCTTCTTAAAAACCTCCAATGTTGAAGCACCCACAACTTCTGGAGGCCAGCTGTTCCACTGGCTAATTGCTCTCACTGATAGGAAGTTTCTCCTTAATTCCAGGTTGCTTCCAGATGTTACAAGATGCTGTAGGTATCCTCCAAGTCCAGGATATTAACTGCCATAGGGCAGGACTCAGGATGTTTGCCTAAAAAGATTATATGATTCATTATTAACCTCTAATAATGTAGGTTCCTATGAAGATTCTACACATTACATAAGAAATAATTAACATCCTAAGACTTCCCTCAACTTCATATAACTAGCTATATTTTTTAATTTAAAAAATTCCTTCTTATGCTCTTTTTAATGAAATAGTAAAGAAATTCTTCTTGGAAAATGTCTGTGGTATCAGCTGTTATCCAAAGAAGGTTTTTCTTGCAAGAGAAAAGGACAGAATATTAAAGATAGATTGCTTTTTTGCTTTCTCAGATACGGAAAAATGCACCAAGTGTCCAGATGATAAATACCCAAATGAGGACAGAGTCCAATGTATCCCCAAAGTCATAACCTTCCTATTTTATGAAGAATATCTGGGCATCATCCTGGTTTCTTTTGCCCTACTCTTGTTCTTAATCACAGGCCTTGTTCTAATCATCTTTATTAAATACCGAGAAACTCCCCTTGTCAAAGCCAACAATCGGGACCTCTCCTACATCCTCCTGGTCTCCCTCCTGCTTTGCTTCTTTTCTCCTTCTCTCTTCATTGGTCAACCAAGGAAAGCCACCTGTGTCTGGGTGACTTTTGTGCCCACCTACCTGAGCACCAAAGGGAAATACATGGTGGCTGTGCAGGTCTTCTCCATCCTGGCCTCCAGTGCTGGTCTGCTGGGCTGCATCTTCATCCCCAAGTGCTACATTATCCTTCTGAGGCCAGACCTCAACACAAAGGAGCAGCTCACAGCCAGAACAAATGTGAAAACATGAGATATAACACAAATGTGATATTGGAAGAATTGTTAACAGTTCTTTTATTAGAAAGGAGATATTCTTTCCATTTAGATAGTAGGCATGAATCAAAGAAAATCATATGTTTCAAATTTGGAAAATATTGAATTATTCACAAAGGAGCAGCTTACAGCCAGAAGAAATGTGGAAATGTGAGACTGAGGAATTTCAACTTTTAACATTTTCCACACTCTAAATGTAGAAAATGATCCACACGGTTCTGCATGGATGAGTGGGCCAACTATTTTTCTTGAAATAAATAAAGGGTGTGTGGAAGATTGTGAGGAGACAAATTTCTTG